ATAAATACTCATCCGCGTTTATATGCCCTTCATGAAGCCACAAAAATCTCCAGCTTATTGATTGTATAATATAACAACAGATCGTATTTTGTTACTGAAATTCTCCAATGCATGACTTGTCGGGTATGACGGGGATTCTTCGACTGCGAGACCTTTCACTAAATGTATGTACCAGGCGGATCGTTACGTAATCACATACGTCATACACGCAGAGTTCACTCACATCTTACGACATCGGAGATCCTGAGGACTTGCCAAGTGGTTCTCAAGTACTTTGAAACATTTTTAATCGAAGTTTCGAGCAAATACGACAAATATATTGTGATTGGAACTTCACATTTTCACAATTTTAAAATATACAAACAAATATATATCATGATCGATCTCGACCGAAAAACATAAATATTGGAATCAAGAATAAATAGTGTAGTGTTCATTATTAAGCAGTTCAGTAACTGACAGTTAAATTAATTGCGTTTTGTCGGTAGCATTCAGATAAGATGGTACACCATACATCATGATTGCTAATTAATTAATAATACTAAGCGTTGAGAGATTGTTTTTGTTTTGTCCGCATTATCAGTTTTCTACTGAGATAAACTTGGGTTTTATGGGGCTGTGGGCTAACTTTTCCCACATACATTAACAACATCAATGCCGTCAACTACCTTTAGATTTGATGTCTCTATTGTGAAATAATAAAATTATATATTTCCCTCGTATTGATTTATGTAACATGATTTGATTCTTTCATTGTAAAAGTAGTTCGAGAATACACCGTAATGATTGGCTAATTTGAACTAATAATAGTATTAATAGATGCTTACAAAATAAATTTGAATCTATTCTCTCCATATTATTTTTAATTTTCTCCACAGACAGTCTTATTTGTACTTCATTATCAATTGTAGTTTAGTAGATCAAGGTAGTTTAAAAAACTGCGTTTTGTTTATTTTGTGATTAGAGAATACAGCACTTTATCAAACATAATAAAAACTGAACTATCAATAAATACATTTATGAGGAGTTTTTTTTCCGAACTATTTTATTGTCTGAAGTTCATTGACCGAAAAGCGTCGGAGTATAAGCCGGAGAAAGTTATAGTTAATCAGCATGCCCACGACTAACTCAGCTTACGTCACTTCCGTATCCCGAATAACGAATAGATTGTAGATAAGCGTGATACTTTGTAGACAGCTTTCATTCGGATTGCTTTTATTGTAATGAAAATGTTTGCGCAAAGGTCGCGACACTGTTTACGTAAATCATTTATTGTGTGTGGTTTATTACGTTCTAAATAATTTTGTGAATCTATAAAAAGTGTGGCTTGACGAACTTCCTTACCTTAGCAAATATACTTATGATGAACAGATTCGTTTGCTATGTGTGTGTGTGTGAGAGAGAGAAATTTCTTATTCTGTAGTTTTTTCATAATGTAAGTCATAAATCTTTTTTTTTAAATATCCCGCCTTCCTTTTAAGAAAAAATAACGAGCTCACAGCCCACCTGGTGCTAAGTGGTTACTGGAGCCTATAGACATCTACAACGTAAATGCGCCACCCACCTTGAGATATAAGTTCTAAGGTCTCAGTATAGTTGCTGCCCTGCCCTTCAAACCGAAACGCATTAATGCTTCACGGCAAAAATAGGCTGGGCGATGGTACCTACCCTTGCGGACTCACAAGAGGTCCTACCACCAGTAAAAATGTAATGAATATTAAATTCAGAACATGGATAATGCGCGGGAAAGCCCGACAGAGCGCAGAGTACGTAACCGTTAAGTGGCGCGAGGACATGCATGCCTCGAACGTGTCCGGAATCCTCATTAGTGCGCGCATCAATTATTACTGCAATAAAGTGTATTTTCTTAAAACTAGTGCCTAATTATTGATAATAGACGATGACGGTGTTTTTTTTTGATAAATTGTGTTTTTAAGAAATTACCTATATTTAAATACGAATTACATATTGATAAAATGATGAAATATTCTAAGATCGTTTATTTATTTAAGCATTACCAACAGGGTTTACAGTAAGACATAAAATAACATTGACATGTATAGACCAATTGATAACTGCAACTCTAATTAGAGGCAATCACAGCATCCATTACATTAATGTATCAACAGAGATTTAACAATACTAATACTAATAATAAAAAATTAAAAACAAAAGAAAGACAACAAGGACAGTAATACCCGAGTACTCAGACCAAGGCTGAGGCTGAAGTTCAACAACAACTTTTTATAATTTTGTTCCTGAATATTGGAAGGGAATCGCCAAATATGTCAAGGTTTTCAGCTTTTCTGACTAGATTATTATAAAGGTTAGTTAGACGAGGAGCAGGTGAGTGCTTGCCTAGATAGGTTCTGCTAAAGCGGGTGCTGAAAAGAGAAACGTTTAGGTATTTTTAAGTGAACACATGAGTAAAAATGAGACAAATAATATAAATAAACAATTAATTTTCTTGGTCTAACCTTAAACCAAAAACTCATTGGCTTCGGGTGGCTTAACAACGCCATCTGCTAGAATAGCTTTAGTGTTATTGTGTCTTTAAAGCAGTTGGTTGCTCAATTATGAAAAATAGTATTATTATTCGCCAATAGATGTCGGGAAGAGTCATAAAGTTGATTATCGATAAAGTTGATTATTGAAAACATGACTAAAACAACATTTTCTGAAAATAAATCGTAGCTAGATCGATTTATCGCCCCCGAAATCCCCTGTATACTAAATTTTATAAAAGTCGTTGGAGCCGTTTCCGAGATTCATATTAAATGTTATATATATTATATATATACAAGAATTGCTCGTTTAAAGGTATAAGATAAGATAAGATTTACAAGAGAAAGCCGTCAAATACATCTAATCATCTTCCTTTTCAAATTATACAAATGAATATTCATTTCTTTGAACTTTTTTGTTGTTGCTTAAGATCTTTGCGTCGCGTTTGTGTTAAAACTTTGTACAGTTGCTGGCACTCTACATTAGGTTTCTGGCAGCACACTAACAATTGGGTTCCAATTTTTTTTCTTTTCTTACATTTTAAATCTTGATCGACTAGTTAGTACAAGTACCGATCAAATTAAACTCTTAAAAGACGTTTTGGTGCGCTTGCATTACGGTAGAAAGGCTCGGATAGCCGTAAATCCAACGTGTTCACATTTGAAATTTAAATCTATTCCACGCGGGCGGAGTCGCGGGCTAAAGCTAGTAAAATATATACTGTCTGTCTCCAAACCTATTGATTTTATTCATTACTAGCCAAAAAGTGAAGAAGTTGTATTGATTTCAACAGAACAAAAATGGCAATATTTCGCTGCTCCCGCACCCTTATTGCCCCTTGCGAAGTATTACAAAGGTGTACCCGAGGTAATGCGTCAGTGCTTTATGAAACTAGCTGTAGGTACTCGCCCACATCGCTGGGCATTTAAAATTAACATTATTGTTTATTGTCATTATTATTAAGGAGTCCAACACTCATATAAATATTAGGCTATTCATTAGGTACATGTATTTTTCTACATGGATACCAAGTTTTAAATCAATCGGATGCATGGTTCAGTAGTTATAGCGGAACATCCGTAAAAATCACTGTAGATTTATATATTAGTATAGATTTCGACTTCTAACGTCATATTATTTCACCGTCGAAGTATTTTCTGTATGCAAACATGTAGCAATCACAATGAATCAATTTTTTTTTTAAATGGTATCCACTTACAGTTAAATACAAGGTTGACGGCTTATTTGTCCTGCGTTTTTACAACGATGAGTCAAGAGGCATGCATGATGATGCGTACGTAATATAAATAGCATGTTCAAAAACACACAATACGAGTCGTTAAAGCCCACATTTATCAGGATTACTAAATTTTAAATATTTTAATTTGCGGGCGATATTGAAGAGGAAACAAAGATATTTCCAACGATTCGCTGCATGTCATTGTAAATGTAAGTGGATCGAAACATACATAATATAATAGTTGCGTTAAGAGTATAGTTTAGCTAATAATCATTGGTATAAGAAATACCTGTTAAGAATACTTTTATATATTTTTTTAATAAATCTATATAATAAGCATTGACAAACCAATTAAATACCAACAGAATGTTTGTTACTTTTTTGTTTAATAGCTACGAAGTTTTAGTATCAACAATTTAAATTTTTATTTATTAAATATTTGTTTTCACACTTACAATACATTAAACGAATCTAAATTCTGAAGAAGCGGTAATTATGTTAAGTTCACTAGATTATTAGTTTTCATTAAACAATCGTCCCACACACTGCGATTTTGGCTGAACGACCTCACGCCTAGTGGTCATAGGAGTTCACACGGAGTCCATAAGCAACGTAACATGGATGCAAATTGAGACATGATATTGTAGTGTCAATTCGTCTTTTCGCATTAAAAGTGTACAATTTTCAAAAATATTAGAAATTGACTTAATATGCAGATCCATTTGGTATCACCAGTATTTTTCTAATAAGTACTGTCAAAAGAGCGTAGTTTAGTTTAGTTTTTTTTTTAGTTTACCTTTGTTTTGACTATTACTAACAAAATTAATACATAATTGTATCTTACTTTAAAAGACAGATAATGTAACTAGTACAAAATAGAAAATAAATTTTGCAAAGATGATTAATATTACAAATATCACATGTTAAACCTTTAAAACACTCTCCTGTAAAACTAGTAAGTTTTGAGATAATACAGTTTTAATGCGAGAAGACGAATTGTATTGGGTACTGACAGGATCGCCGTGACTGTTTCGCCCTGCTACTTACTCACCCGGCTATCAAGATTTTTTTTATTTTTTTTATTGCCTTTGTAGGCAGACGAGCATACGGCCCACCTGATGGTGAGTGGTTACCGTCGCCCATGGACTTCAGCAATGCCAAGGGCAGAGCCAAGCCGCTGCCTACCTAATTTGTTAATTCTTAAACTATATCTGGAATTGATTTAGGCTAATGTTGATAATCAACTTTGTTACAGAAGAGGCGTGTGTGATGCAGCGATGGCAGCGTTCTCGGTGAGGGTGGCGGTGCTCTGCGCATGCGCACTGCTCCTGCAAAATGGTAAATACCAAATAACACTTTTACTATGAATTTATTCTAACTCAAGAACTATTTAATATGTTAATGTCTTTGAGTAAGAGCTTCGTAACACTCTATAGCGTGTGATCTTTTGACTTCCACGTTCCTTAAGCTATTCTGTTAATCCATAAACACCGTAACCTCGACTATTTCTATATAATTCGTAGCTTGGTTAATGTCCTCAATAGCTGGGTATCTAGCAAACCCGCCAGAGCCACTACAGCCATCTCGCCTATTTCTACCATGAAGCAACCATGCGTTCCAGATAACCACATTAATGAAATCGGGATTTTAATCCTGTCTCGAGGTCAAACAAACTAATCTTCTTAATCTTTACTGGTGGTAGGACCTCTAGTGAGTTCGCGTGGGTAGGTACCACCACCCTGCCTATTTCTGCCGTGAAGCAGTAATGCGTTTCGGCTTGAAGGGTGGGGCAGCCGTTGTAACTATACTTGAGACCCTAGAACTTATATCTCAAGGTGGGTGGCGCATTTACGTCGTAGATGTCTATGGTCTCCAGTAACCACTTAACACCAGGTGGGCTATGAGCTCGTCCAGCCATCTAAGCAATAAAAAAGAAATAAAAATAAAATCTCTGCTACGAAGAAGTCATACTTTCTGTTTTGTTGGGTAATACTATTATGACCCAATTAGTTGCAGAAAAGAGGCAGTTACGAAAAATCATCCACACCGAGCTACTAATGTTAACATCACCATCGTTAATTCACAGTAGTAGCACCACAATCTATTTTTCAACCTAACTAATCTCCCCTCCTTCCGAGTTTGAATACGATTTCTCTCCAAACACTTCAGGTTTCGAAATAGGCAGGGACGTTTACAAAATTAAGCAGATATTTTTTTAAACAACACTACTATTGTTATTTAAGTATTTGAATGTACCCACCAAAAAAATAATCCGTTCCTGTATTTACATTAAGTTTTTTTTATGCAGCAAGCGCTGAGCTGAAAGGGAGATGTCCAGCTGAAGAGAGTTCGTGTCCAGCGCGAGCGGCACCTTGCAGCTCCGATGATGAGTGTGGCGAACAAGTGTGCTGCTCAACCAATTGTGGACGAACTTGTGTTGATCCGCTATTTACTGGTAATATAATTAAACTTTATAATAGTACTAGCGGCCCGCTCCGGCTCCGCTCGGGTCCTTAACAAAAATTTCAAATATTTGACGTTGTTTTATTTTTTTTAAATAACAGAGCACTTATTGCGGCCTAACTATAATAGTTAGAAATATGCTGTCGGGATACTTTTTATAAATAATAATGTGTTCTACGAAGTCGTAGTACATTCTTTGATTCTATCTTCAATAGTTTTCGCAGGGCACGCGATGTAAAGAATATTTTAGGTATTTTTTTTACACCTCGGGTTACATTATTGGAATTTTAGTAAGGATCCCTAATTTTTTTCAAAAAAGATTATAGCCTATGTCACTCGGGAATAGTGTAGCTTCCAAACAGTGAAAGAATTTTACAAATCGGTTCAGTAGTTTCGGAGCCTATTCAATACAAACAAACAAACAAACAAATCTTTCCTCTTTATAATATTAGTATAGATGAATGTACTAGGACTTTTAGTACTTTTATAGTCGTCGTGGCCTAAAGAATAAGACGTCTGGTGCATTCGTGTTGAGCGATGCACCAATGTTCGAAATCCCAGGCGGGTAGCAATTTTTCTAATGAAATACGTACTCAACAAAAGTTCACGATTGACTTCCACGGTGAAGGAATAACATCTATATATATAAAAATGAAACCCGTTTTCCGTTGTCACGATATAACATGAAAACGGCTTGACCGATTTGGCTAATTTTGGTCTTGAATTATTTGTTGAAGTCCAGAGAAGGTTTAAAAGGTTAGATAAATATAAAAATATTCGGAATTAAATAAAAATAACAATTTTGTTTTTCCTTTGATGTGTCCCCCGTCGGACGGATTCCTTTTGTTTGTTTTAAGTTTATCTTAAACAAAAGTTTAGGTCTTTTATTTATCGATTGAGGCACTACGAAGTCTGCCGGGTCAGCTAGTCGTGTAATAAAAATCAAACCCGTAAAAATTATAATTTGCGTTAAAATTATAAATTACTGGTGGTAGGACCTCTTGTGAGTCCTCGCGGGTAGGTACCACCACCCTGCCTATTTCTGCCGTGAAACAGTAATGCGTTTCGGTCTGAAGGGTAGGGCAGCCGTTGTAACTATACTGAGATCTTAGAACTTATATCTCAAGGTGGGTGGCGCATTTACGTTATAGATGTCTATGGGATCCAGTAACGTTTTAACATCAAGTGGGCTGTGGGCTCATCCATCCAACTAAGCAATAAAAAAAAGGATAATTCTTACATGATACCTTCATAAACGACCTGATGCAATTTGCAAGAAAAAATAATTTAAGTAACGGATACTTGTTTTTTTGTCTTGTTTGTTTAAATAGGTACACGAACTTATGGCCAATCAGTTATTGAGTGGTCAACACAGAGCATAGACATAATATATGCCGTCATCTTTCAAAAATGAGCTTTAATTCGCAGTTTTACTTACTCGCTGTCAACAGTAATAGCGCAAATTATATTTTTATGTAAATGTGTATTATAATCTAATAAACTTGTCTTCGTATTATGTATTTATTTTAAATGGTAATTGGAATGCATATTACAAAATACTGCGTCAATATCGGAGTTAATGCCTTACCGATTACATTCCTCCACAATTTACAGTCCGTTTCTAGACGTCATATTTTTTAGTGCTCCATCAACCCTTACAATAAGATTAAATTAAATTTTATTTTATTTTATTTTATTTTATTTTTTAAAGGAAGACAAGGAAGTCATTATCTCGCATAAGATTGAATGATTTTAATTAGTAAATTAGACTAATTTAACAAAAAGACCAAAGCCAATGTAAGCATACTAAACATAACCAAATGTTTTTTTTCCGTACAGGCTGTGAGAACGTAAAGCTATCGACGGAGCGGATTTCCAGAGCTTTGGCTGCTGAGAACGGCCGCGGTGGCAGGGGCCTGGCGCCTTCTCTCCGGACTCCACGTTGCAGGGTCAGCGACGGAGAATTCGAGGAGATCCAGTGCGATAACGAGATCGTCAGCTCGTGCTGGTGTGTCGATGCCGCTGGATTTGAGGTGACAACTTAAAATATCTAATAGTCTCTTTCCCACACCAAGTCTAATTAAAGTTATGGCCTGCGGACGACAGAGAAATTTAGGTATTTCTTAGCCACCTACAAAGGAGATATGGACGAAACCGTTAATTAACAAAGCATTAATATAATCTATATATATAAAAATGAATTGCTTGCTGTTTGTTAGTCTCGCTAAAACTCTCGGCTGTACCGATTTGGCTAATTTTGGTCTTGAATTATTTGTGGAAGTCCAGAGAAGGTTTAAAAGGTAGATAAATATGAAAATGCTCGGAATGAAATAAAAATAACAGTTTTGTCGGACGGATTCCTTTTGTTTGTTTTAAGTTTATTTTATACAAAAGTTTAGGTCTTTTATTTATCGATTGAGGCACTACGAAGTCTGCCGGGTCAGCTAGTAATTAATAATTACATAATAAAAAAAATTGTTAATAAAGCAAGTATAAAGTATACATTTTATTCTTTTTTTTCACAATAAAAAAATTTACAAATGTATAGATACTTTCTTTAAACTGTGGCTCTCCCTCTTTCGAAAGGTACCCGGTACTAGAGCGCCGGCAGCTGGTCTGGTGAATTGCACGAGGTCGGCTCCATGTGCTGCTCACACTTGCCGGATGCTGTGCCCGCTGGGCTTCGAGCTCGACTCTCGAGGGTGTCCGCTCTGTAAATGCCGAGATCCGTGTGCATCCATCACTTGTCCTGGGCAATTGTCTTGCCAGCTTGAGGAAACTCCTTGCTTAAGACCGCCGTGTCCACCAGTGCCTACATGTAGGTATAATAAAGTGCTTTCTCACTTCTTCTAAGTGATAATTTTTAAGGGTTTTTTTTTGTTGAAAAATCTGAATGGTGAATTACCTCACAACCTGTCTGATTCCTGAAGCCTATAGAATTCACAAACTGAATGCCGCCCCCCACCTTGAGACACGAGACCGAAGATTCAATTGCAACTGTATACTTTTTTAGTTTTTCTGCCTTTAAAAGCAGATGACCATACGGCCCTGGTGGTGAGGTGATTTTGGGATCCGTAACAGGGTAATAATAACATGAATTAAACAAATTCTAATTAAAAATAATATTTTGTCATTTAAGGTAAACGTGGAAGGAGTCTGCAAAATATATGTCCTGTCGGCGAACCCTTATTAATCTCAGAAACAAGTCGACCATTCCTCTGTGGTACTGATCCGGGAAAACCAAACTGTCCACCTCTGTATAGATGTCTTGTCGAATCAGGTATTCTTTTATTTATATACTCCATTTTTGGATGGACTTATGCAATATAATACGATGAACTTAAATGCCAATTTGAGGTCGACGTTTCAATTGGATTGTATAACGAACCATCAAACCAATGGCTGTTTCACGTCAGAAATACCAAATAATAAATAGTGTTACCGACCCGTGCTTCTTTTCTGCCTATTCGCTGACAGCCTAAGAGGCTATTTCACCTACGCGGGGCCAGATAGGTGAGCTCACGGCATAACCTGAGAGAGTTTGCTAACACTAGACCTAGCAAGGGTAGTGCTTCGCAGAAACTACCACCGGATCGGAATCGCGACCCACTGAGAAGATCCGACGAGAAACCCAATGGGCTGTATCTATGCGTGCCAACCCGTGCGAGCTTACAATACACACTGACAGTGTATTGCAAATTGATAGCCCAAAGTTGATCAAAGTGGCTATTCATTTCATTTCCAAGATCTCGTCCTAACATTTGCATCGAATCTAAAACCTTAAAGCTGCAAAAGTGCTTCATGTTATGTGTAATTTATGGATTTGCGATTCTCTTTGTTGACTAAATATTCAATTAACCGAACAGGAAACGACTACGGAGTTTGTTGCCCAGCATCTTTAGAGCTGCAAAAGGCCGGCACTTGTCCGGAGCCGGCCACGAAGGATCTCGACTGTAGCACACCTTGCAGCCACGACTTAGAATGTCCTTCCATGCAAAAGTGCTGTGACGGCGGGGAGTGTGGCAGGCACTGCGTCCTTCCGCACAACGTCACTATGTGCACGCAGCAGAAGATGCTCGCAGAGCTGTTGGTCGTTAGTGAGAGAGAAGGAAAGGGCTACGTGCCGCAATGTGCAGCTGATGGCTCATTCGAATCTCGGCAGTGCTCTAGGAACGGATTAGTTTGTTGGTGGGTACATTAAAATTTTAAAATACCAATCGTAGTTCTATTAAAATAAATATCTGCTTCCTTTTGTATCTGTCGCTACCCGCTTGGAGACTTGAGATCGAAGTATTTGGAGAAATGGTACTTAAACACGGAAGGAGGGGAGAATAGTTATTTTGAAAAATAGACTTTGGTACTATTGTTATGAATTAATGATGCTGAAATAATAGTGGTAGCTCGATGTGGTTGGGTGTTCATCACTGCATCATCTGATTTGTCACCAGTTCTCTGACTTTTAAAAAGACATAAATAAGGAAATACTGTTTTTATATGGATGTTAAAATGTCGCACCGAATCCCAGGCGTCCCACAAGATTTAATAAAATCTTTGGCTGGATGCTAAGGTCACATTATTGTCAAAGTTGTAATTCTTTTCTATCCGATTAGACTTAACCTTCATATTTCTAATAGGTGCGTTGATACGGATGGAAATAAGCTACGAGGTTCCATGGGACCATCAGCTACGGTTCATTGTTCTCCAACTCCGCTGTCAGCCAGGAGCGGTGCTCGTAGCCTCAGCTCTTGTGCACGGTCTCTGTGCGCTGGTATATGTGAATACGGGTACAGGACGGGTCCTGATGGGTGTCCGTCATGCGAGTGCGATGACCCGTGCGCTGGTTTCCCTTGCGCTGACGGAGAAGAGTGCGTACGAGTTAAAGACTCTGAGTGCTCTGGTGAATTCTGCACTGGATATCCTGTATGTAAGTTTGTATACAGCTTATTTTTATTCATGTGTCGTGCGTCTGTTTTCTGGGGTAACTTCGATAAAACTTGATTCAGAATGAAGGATTTTTAATTCTCTTGATATACAATCAAAAATACATGCAAGTACGACCAGAATTTTTTGTGCAACTGCAACAACTTGTGTTGCCATACTACTAATGTGTTGCCACACTAAATATAATTATATGAAGTGCTATGTTTAGGATTGCCCTAAGCAATTGGCATCGATAATTTAATGTTTTTATGCCCCATTGCGTGTCTTGGACATTTGAATGTTACCGCCTACTATAAGAAATAAGGTCAAAGACACATTTGTAATAGAATAGCCTATGTCCTACTCTTCGAGTTTGAAAGCCTGGTGAATGACCCCGCGTAATAAAGTTTGATCGAGCAAATCGACGCTCGATGGAAACTAGCCCTACCATTAATTATGAAAAAAAAATAAAAATTATTTGTTCGAGAATGTTGGTCCTTATCACACGTTTCGTGAAATGGCTGCTTCATAATCGACTTCATACGTTATTCATCATAAATGTGCAGGTCGGCTAAAAGTATCGTACGAGAATCCTTGTGAGCTCGGAGCTCCTGCTACGGACGACGATGGCTCTGTGATCAGATGTGGAGCCGATGGAGACTGTCCGTCATCCCACAACTGCATCCGTACCAGACGTAGTGGAAACGCGCTCTGTTGCCCCGACCCGGTTTATCTAAACTCAACCGATGCTGATCTTATGGAGGTGAGCTTGATGGATTTTCAAAACGGAAAATTTTCTTTTAGTTATCTAAGCTTTGTTATTTGATATTCGTTTAATTGGAAATTGTAAGGCTGTGTTTAATATATGAGTTTAAAATTATGGGACTCGGAAATAGCATTTATTTGTGTTTATTTTGTGATTCAATTCTCGCTCTGCTAGGTTTCACTGTGCGTGTAAAAAATTTTTGAAGCCGCTTAAAATCTCATTTGTATTAGTTCAATAACTATAAACAAAATCAGTTGGAGCTAGGACGTTAGAAAGTAAGATGTTACGGTTAGTCTTGTGAGACCGCGCGGGTCGGTACCACAACCCTGCATATTTCTGCCGTGAAGCAGTAATGCGGTTCGGCTTGAAGGGCGAGACTCTAAACTCAGATCTCAAGATGGGTGATGGCATTTACGTTGTAGATGTCTATGGGCTCTAACCACTTAAAACCTTTAAAGCAAGAAAAAAAAATTAAAAAAAAAAGGTGACAACAGATTCTAGGCAAGTAGTAAGGTGGTATAGAAGTAGTAGGTGGGTAGTAGGTAGGTAGTAGGTATGATAATATCATATTAGGATCGAAAGTTGCTAGTTGAAAGACTAATGTTTTGGATACCAATCAATGCACATCATTAATTCTAGATAAGCTACGAATCGTGTGGCTCTGAGGCTGAAGCTCTCTGCGGCTTGAACTCCACCATGAGCTGTCCTGAAGGCGACTGTGACAACGACTTAGTGTGTTGTTCTACAGCGTCCTGTGGACCAGTCTGTGTTGATCCCGCTAAGATGCGACTCCAAGCTGATCGGGTCGATGACACTCCTACAAGTAAGTCGACACCAATTTTTCTAGTCTTCTTCGAACTTTCTAGATTTATTTAAAGCTAATTAGCTGTGCCCCTGGAATTGCTGATGTCCATGAGCTATGGTAGCCAATGACCATCAGATGGGCCTTATTTTTTTATTTTTTATTGCTTAGATGGGTGGACGAGCTCACAGCCCACCTGGTGTTAAGTGGTTACTGGAGCCCATTGACATCTACAACGTAAATGCGCCACCCACCTTGAGATATAAGTTCGAAGGTCTCAAGTATATTTACAACGGCTGCCCCACCCATCAAACCGAAACGCATTACTGCTTCACGGCAGAAATAAGTAGGGTGGTGGTACCTACCCGCGTGGACTCTCAAGAGGTCCTACCACCAGTAAAAAAATATAAAAGTAAAAATGTCTACAAAGGTAATAAAAAAGATGCTACAAATATTTTCGGACTTTTTTTTTTAACAGACTAACTTTTTAATAGACTAATTTTGTATTTGATTGTGCTGTAAGAAATTTAAGGCTTTAAGAAAGATTTCCTTTCGTTCAAAAATATTCAAAGTATTTTTTTTTTAATAAATATTAATAATAGTATTGTTAAAATTCCACATCTTCATTACTTTTTAAAAAGTAAATTTTACAACGACTGAAAATAATTTAATTGCCGTTTTAAATATTCTCGCCCAGGCTATAATTAATTGAAATTATAAGGTTTAACATTATTATGGTTCTATTGTCAAAGACTATTATACTTCTTTAATTACAGATTTCGCCAAGTCTAAACTATAGATAAATAATATGAAAGACAAACAATATTAATATATTCTCAATTTGACCACAGACTATAAACAATTACAAAAGTTTGACAATAAACAAAGAGTATATGCGTGTGTGTGTCAAATACATGGTAGTATGCGTAATGTTTCTTTTTATTGATTGTTATATTTATGTATGCATAATAAAAAAAAAATTAACATTCTGCACTACTTCTCTATATTGTCTATTAGTGCCGGCAATTTTTCGTACTACTCCGTCTGCGCAATTTTCGTTAAAATGGGTAGGTACAAAGTTTTTGCTTCGCGTATTAATATATAGATAACGTGGAATGTTGAAATACCTATTTCAGTGTGCGAATACCTGAGAGACTTTGACGAGAAAATGGAAGGAACAGTGGACGGCATGAAGCTGGCTCTACCGGCACCGACCTGCCAACAGGACGGTTCCTTCACATCGCAGCAGTGCGCCAACGGTAGATGTTGGTGTGTCGATTCGTTTGGCACTGAGATACCTGAGACCAGTACCCATAACGCATCTTCAGTGGATTGTGATAAGTAAGTCCTATGACACGACGTCAGTGTGCTTAGTGCGAGTTTTTTAACGTTCTCGATAGCGTAAAAGTTAACTCAAATTTGTATGGAGTTGGAACAGCGCCCCGAGCGGCAAATGTAGGCAAACGTATAATCAGACGTAATATCTTAAATAAACGTAATATCTAATCTAATGTGTAACAAACAAAATTAAAATATAAACAAACAGGAGTAATCGATGCCTAGGCATGAGACGATACAAATTCAACTAAAATTTCGATTTTATATTGGACTTAAGTCGGCGCGCGAATCTTGTTGTCGTGTCGTCAGGGGCAACCTGCGTCTCGTATATATTAAGTGTATAATCTATGAACCTGCGCGTTCGGGAATTCCGATCGCGCCCGATGACGCCCGAGTGCGGCCGAATGTTGCACGCTACAAATCACAAATTTTTTCTGTTACGCTTTCAGAGTTCGCGAAGAGCTATCATGCTTGGAGTTGACCTGCCGCATGGGTTGCGACTATGGCTTCGAGCTCGGAGCCGGTCGTTGTCCGACTTGTAAATGCCGGGATCCTTGTTCAGGAGTGACGTGTCCGGCCGGTAGAGCCTGTGCCACAGTCGACGTCGCTTGTGACGCAGATTATTGTCCTCCCGTACCTGCATGTAAGTTCTTATAGGCCCGTTGCTTTAAAATATTATGATCAATTAGGACTATGATTTTAGATTTTATTATATTAATAGCTAATAAAATATCTGGACTTATAAACACCACTCTTTAATGGACTCTTCATCATCATCATCAGCCCGCTGAAATCTACTGCTGGATATATCCACTCATAGTGCCTCCTATACAATTCCTACCACCAACAAAAGTTCCACATTGCAGGACAATATACAAATGATACACTAAGTAGTAGGATAGAATATAAACAAATTTACAAAAAAAAATATTAAAATATTGGACGCTACTCGCTGCTAACGCTCGCGCTGTCCTGTACCAGGTATACTACGCGCATGCGTTCGAGTGCCATGTATTCACTCTCACTCTGTCTCTTTCTAGTATGGCAGCGTTAAACGTTTAACATAACCTTGTTGGAAGTCGCATTAGAAGTTTCAATTCAAAAACAGAATTGATTTTTGTTACATTCAACTTCTTTTTTTAAATTAGGTTTGCCAAAGAAATCCGGTCAGTGTCCATACTTAGTGCCTCAGAGCGGAGCGTGTGAGTGGTCGTGTCGGAGCGACGCCGAGTGCTCCGGGGGGGAGAGGTGCTGCGCCACCGGATGTGGGACTGCTTGTACGCAGCCCGTCCACCAGACAGCTTGCCAACAGAGAAGGTATGTACTAATTATGGGATGGCCGAGAATAGAACCACCACACACGACACAAGGCTTCCAAGAAGAAGAAATTATATCGTGTAACAGCATTGGTTTTTACTCCCAAAAATTATAACTTGAGTAACACTATAATACAACTGAGACATGGACTTAAAATCTGAAGGTGGGTGGCGGAATTCACGTTATGATTGTCTATAGACTCCGGTAACCATCTTACCCCAGATGTACCTACAGCCTGTACACCCGTCTATGCCAAAAAAAAAACAATTAACTAATACCACACATAATACAATAAGTACAAAAAGCGATACCATTATTAAATAGTCAAGGCTTCTAAACGAATACGACTGTTTTTCAGAGCTCTAGCGCTTCATACGGCCGCTGAAAGCGGAAACCCTCCCGCTTGGGCCTGGGTCCCGCAGTGTACGGAGGACGGTGCTTACCAAGAAGTTCAGTGCAGAAGATCTGACAAGACATGCTGGTGTGTCGATACTGCTGGTAACGAGGTACGTACAAGACGTTTTATTCTTCTAGGTGTTTCTTTTTAATCCATTACTTGGGTATGCGAGATCACAGCCGACCTAGTGTTAGAAAGTCATTTGAGACAATAGACAACACAACGTGTCAGTTGTGTTGTAATAGTAGTCATACCTTCCAAATCAGAACACATAATTAATCTGCCAAAAAATAGCTACCCCTACGGAAATAAACTGCAAAACCCCTAATAATTTTGGTACCGGTTAGTCAAAATTGAACCCACAAACCATCGATATATTACCATGGTAATATATCGATGGTTTGTGGGATATATTACCATGGTAATATATCGATGCCACAAACACTAAATAGCTGCCCAGTCAACCTATCGTAGTACTTAACAAATTAATTTGTTCTCACCATGTCCATAACTAAAAATGCCTTTTCTAACGACGTATGCTAATAAATTATAATAATTCTATTTCCATGTATACGCCAGATCCCCGGTACAAGAACTAGCAACTCCACACCGACTTGTGCCTCTCCAATCGAATGTCCGGAAACGAATTGCAATGACATTATCGCCTGTGCTCATGGACAAGAGCTGGACCGCAGAGGCTGTCCCACTTGTGAATGTAGGGACCCCTGCGCCGAAGCCAAGTGCAAACCTGATGAATCTTGCGAATTAGTGCCTTTGGATTGCGAGGTACGATTGATATTAGATTTAACATCATAGATTCATTAGAAATACAGGGACCCGTTTGATGTTCACCGAAATTGAAGACAATATATTCTCAACTTAAGAATAAAAAAATATGGTTTAGGAGGAGGGGTTTTAAACAACTACGTATAAATAAATGTTATTCTAGTTATGAGAATATTTGTAAGTTGCCTACTACTATTACTATTTGTAATAAATATTTTAAAAAAATAATGTTTTTTAGCTGGATGAAATTCTAGTTAGCCCGTTTTTTCAATTGTCTAGTATTATTATTATTCCGTGGACCTTCCTGGTGTTGTTGTGAACTCATACTGAGTTATACCAGCCTTTTGCCTATTTACCCTAGGAGCCCATAGACATCTACAACGTTAATGCTGCCACCCACCTTGAGATATGAGTTCTAAGGTCTCAGTATTGTTACAACGGCTGCTCCACCCTTCAAACCGAAACGGGTTACTGCTTCACGGCCGAAATAGGAAGGGCGGTGGACTCACAAGAGGTCCTACCACCAGTTAGTTTGTAAGAGTCTTGAGTGTTTCTGTATGTATACAGGGTGCAGTGTGTCCGCCGTTGGCTCGGTGCGCGCCGTCCCTGCGGTGCCCCGACAGCACCACGCCGCTTGGAGCGCCGGACGGTTCAGGATCATTGATATGCGGACCTAACGCTGCGGCCTGTCCTTCCACACACGCTTGCAGATTCGCCCCGCACGACTCTGGACCGAATGTTTGCTGCCCCAAGCCTCGTAAGCAATGATTTTTATTTCTTAGATGTGTGGACGAGCTCACAGCCCACCTGATGTTAAGTGGTTACTGGAGCCCATAGACATCTACAATGTAAATGCGCCACCCACCTTGAGATATAAGTTCTAAGGTCTCAGTATAGTTACACGTATATTTTGAATATTATTAGAATTCTGAATTTATATTTCCTTTGAAGACGAAAGTTATAAGAATCAACTAATTATGGACCTAAAACTACAAACCTTAAAATATTTAATATAATAACTAAACTATATTATTAAAAAGAGTCCCTTTAGGCAAGGTTACGAAGATACTGGCAGAGTTCCCCATTTGAATAGCTAGAAATAACTAACAATATGGTTTAAAGAAAGCTCCAAAACCAAAACACGGTCAAAATAGAATCTGACTATTGTATTTAAATTTGTTGACTATAGCTCTACAGAAAATATCACAGAATAAGGCTAGAACGACATTTTTGGATCACAATATTTTGACTATGTATTCTTTTATTGCCATACAAAATAAGCTAAATTAATAGACCTAAAATCAAAACATGATATAAACGCAAGCTCTTTAATATCGTGACATATAAATCGAACGAATAATGATGTTTCAAAGGTCTTCATCTTTCTGGAAACGGATAAATCCCATCACGCCTTAATCCCCACCAAAAATATAAGCACTTAAATCTCAGAACAGTTTGTAATGCTAATTTTTTTATTTTGCTTAGATTGGTTGATGAGCTCACAGCCCTCCTGGTTTTAAGTGGTTACTGGAGCCCATAGACATCTACGAAGTAAATGCGCCACCTACCTTGAGATATAAGTTCTAAGGTCTCAAGTATAGTTACAACGGCTGCCCCACCCTTCAAACCGAAACGCATTACTGCTTCACGGCAGAAATAGGCAGGGCGATGGTACCTACCCGCTAATGTTACGAATTGGGCAGGTACCGTCTGCTTCGAGAGCAAAGACGAGGGTAATTGCACGGAGGGACAAGTGTTGAACACGACAAGATGGCACTTCAATCACGAGCGGAACAGATGCGAGAGGTTCCGCTACCACGGATGCAGCGGAAACCACAACAATTTCAGGACCAAGGACGAATGCAACGCCGTATGTCCCGGTAAGTAGTTCTCGTTTTGTATCCGTAACACCAAATAGTTTTTATACGAATATCATAAATACGACTAGCTTTGGCACAGTCTAAATTCATTTCATTTTTTGCCAAATAATAACGAGGGAGGAAAGGATATTCGGTTTAATCGACAATTTTCAACTTAACAGGAGAGCCATGTAAGGTTTCACATTTGGAAAAAATATCATAACAAAAAAACATCTTCAGTTATTTAAATAGGGTAAACATAATTGAAGTTCAATTAAAAACATCGAACTGTTGATGCTAATACCAAATAAAACGCATCTTTAATTACAAAGATAAATGTATTATGTTTTATTTTTTTATTGCTTGGATGGGTGGACGAGCTCTCGGCGCTCCTGATCTTAACTGGCTACTGGAGCCCATAGACATCTACAATGTAAATGCCGCCACCCACCTTGAGACATAAGTTGTAAGGTCTCACTTTTAATAGTGCGAAATGTCACTTAAACCAAGTAGTCTCCTCTCGAAATATTCCCGTTAATAATATGAGATCTAGGCGGCATTATTGGATCCTCGAATCCATTCTCGATGCTTTTAGGCTCTTCAAGCACCGGTTACCGAAAAATAATAAAGTAATGATACAGTGTGTGATGCTTAACTTACATAAAAACAAAACAAAAATGAAATAGTAGCAACTGAATTATGCATTGTATAAGTTGTTAAAGTATATGAACTAAGAACATTCGGACGTACACTTGCGTGAATTTTAGCAATGTTAATTACACGACTGTGCAAGACTAATAAATACACCGAAGGCATTATTCAAATGGCTATTGCCTTTGGCTATGACTATGACCTTTACCAATATGTTTTTTTTTTAATCTTTCGGAAAAAAGCTGAAAATAAATTAAAAATACATTTAATTACATAATCAAAGTAATTGCTTTATAACAAAAAAATTAAAATTTCGAATCGTTAACGTCAATTTATTCTTCAAACAGTCGAAGGACAATCCTCAAAAATAACGAAAGTTCAGAAACCGACGGAAGACGCCGGACAAGGCACGTTAACTATTCAATTATACACGTGTGCGAGATAATCCAATGGTGAATAACAAGCACAGACATAAAATGTGAATTGCACTTTCATTTTAACAATTTTTCGTGTTTTGTTTTGAATTAGTTTTCGATTCACTGAATGTTTGAAAAGCACACTTACAGCCAAATTCAAGGCAATGTAATCAAAAACAGCCGTTTGTAAAACCTGCCTTGAAACGGCAACTAGTTACATAATATGTACTTATGTTATGTTAAGTGTTTCATTGAAGGATTCGTTAAAATCGATAAACTTATATTAAATAAAAATACTTTAAGGTTGAATCTCGCATTTATAATTTCCGAAATTTCAAATACTTTACAGTTTTCACGACCGCGTTGATGACCACGATTGACCATGAAAATTGTAAAGTAAAATTAGTTTTAATTATATCTCGCGAAAATCAAGAAAAATACTAGGAAACTACAAACCTAACTTACTTATATTCATCGGTTAATATTCGTAAGCACAATAACTCACTATGATTTTCATTTTTCATTGCAAACGTACGAATGCTAAAGTACTTAACAATAGGCAGCGGCTTGGCCCTGCCCCTGGCATTGCTGACGTCCATAAGCGACGGAGACCACCATCAGGTGGACCGTATGCTCGTCTGCCCACAAAGGCAATAAAAAAAAGCTGCTTGAAATTAAAGCAAAATTCGAAACAATATTATCCGAGCGAGTTGTTAGCTTCTTTCGCTCATCTCAAGTAATAAAAACAGTTTTATCTTTGAATATGAATGAACGTTTATTTCAGTACTTAGTCCATGCGAAAGACTGCGAGAGAAAAACGAAGCGGCGGCACTGAAGTACGGAAAGGGCACCTTCATACCGGTTTGTGACGCCAGTGGCGCTTGGGAACCAGTACAGTGCATGTCGCATATCGGTAAGATATTAATCAATTATTTCAACATCTGATTCATTAATAATCTATACTAATATTATAAAGCAGAAGAGTTTGTTTGTTTGAACGCGCTAATCTCAGGAGCTACTGGTCCGATTTGATTAGCCCATTTATTGAGGAAGGCTATAGGCTTATATAACATCACGCTAAGACGCTAATGATGTTTCAAAATCGTTTTTTTTTTTCGTTTTGAGTTCTTCCGCTGCGCGCGCTGCAGAATCGATTATGGTTTCGCTAAAATAATGTATAACAGAATTGTTCCCCTATAAAAGATCTAAAGAAAGTCCGCGACAGCATATGTCTATATGTTAAGGTTGGCTCACTATAACGTTTTTTATGCTAACCAAATTTGTTCTAAAATAAAGCATTATTTGTGAACTGTTCCACGCGGACGAAGTCGCGGGCAAAATGTAGTAATAAATACATGAGAACAAATTACGCACGGTCATCCGGAACCAATTTAAGGTACTCTGTGTTATGGGTACCAGAGACTGACATACATTATATTTTTTAAATAATATATGGATAATAAGCATTCAGACAAAGAGCAAACAGACCTGTTCATCACACGAATATTTGCCCGATGTGGGAATCGAACCCACGACCCTCGGCGCAACAGTCAGGGGTGCTAATTACTGCAGTTTACTGCACCACCGAGTCAGTCAAATCATGAAACGATCCACGCTAAATATTCGTTCCTATTTCAATAGCATTAATTTTTTTTATTAGGAGTGTTACTGGGCTCTCATAGCGTTCCTTGTGAGCCCGCACGAATAGATAACTAGGTACCCAGCTCATCATTGCCGTGAAGCGTTAATTCGTCTAATTGAATCGATTATTTAGTTCGATTAATTGAATGGTGAGACAGTCCTTATACTGTGCAATTCAGACTTACACCTCATGTTTCACGGTACGTCTTGGTATCCATGTTGTGATCTTTATGACCTAATAATCGAACATTTGGTGAACCTGTACCTCGTTGATTGAAAAAAAGTTTTTTTTTCAAAATGGAATGTACTTTCCGCTTTTACAAATATTTGTTTTGTCCTATGACAGATGTGTGTTGGTGCGTGAGCGCCCGCGGTGAGCCATTAAAAGGCTCTCTGGTACGAGGATCCAAGCCTTCCTGCAACTTCCGGCAGGCTCGTAAATGGATACAAAAAGACCCTTTCGATGAGAAAGCCAAAGCTGATGAAGGTTTGTTTTGATATTTTAACTTCTAATTTACTTTACAGATGTCCACATTTGACACGTAGAAGTAGGTATCATAAGTCACGGTTATGGTCAAATGTTTCTACATTTTGAACTATCCAAGATTAGACATTAAGCAAGTAATAAATTAAACGGCTAGGTAGTTTAACTAAGACTTTGACATCACTCAATTCTATTTATTTTAAGACCAAAGCTTCTAAGCGACTTACTAAGGTTGGAGAATCAGTATTATTCCGTCTCAAATTCACACCATCTGTATCTATAATGTTACTAGTGTAATGAAATTAGTTTTGTTTTCCAGTTCTAGAAGAGCTTATAAGACAAATGACCGCTTATCGAGTTGATGAATTTGAAGAAGACGATGAAGATTTAGATGAAGACTTAGCAGAAGCGAGGAGCACAGCGGATTTTGCCGACAAAGAAGCACAAAACGAAGAAGCCATACTCGTATCTGAATTTGTTGAGCCCAAACAGGCTTTAACGACCAGGAAAATGGATAGGCCACTAGTACTGGAGGAAAAGATTTCGTTTAAAACGAAATGTCAGATGTTACAAGCAGAGATCGATAATGGTGAGTAAATTTTGGATGTAGTAGCAAATATTAATCTCTTTATGAAAGAGTTGACATCAAAAGCCTTAAGATTCGCTGACTAAATAAATTGGGTAGGTTAAGTTTTTGGAATGAACGGGTCAACCAAAGACCGATCGTAATGGCGAAATAATGTTGAAACCCTTTACTCTACTTGGCGGTTATAGGACCTTAAGCAAAAAGAAACAGCAAAAAATCATGTTTTTGGAATAAGCTTTACTAGTATCAGTGGCCGTCGAAACTAGTAGATGTTGGATTTATTATGTTATTTCATTGGTCGCTACCATAATTTAGCTTCAAATCAGATTAGGTTGTGTGCCATATAATGTCAAACTTCGACCTCATGTCTGAAGGTGTGTTTCACTGTAAGTTCTGTTCGTCTCAACGTGTATTGTCTGGGTTCCAGGATCGGAAGGGTATCGTCCCCGTTGCCTGTCGGACGGCTCGTTTTCTCCGCGCCAGTGTGTCCGCGGCAGGTGTTGGTGCGTGGACGCCGCCGGAGAGAGGAGACACCACTCCGGTCCAGTGCCTGACCTTCCCGCCCCTGATCCTTGTGGTAACTGTTCTATATAATTATGTAGAATAAGGATCGCAGGGCATAAAATAAAACTTTCACTGTTCCAAAATCTTCTGTTATAATTATTATTATAACAGAAGATTTTATGTCTACAAAAAAATTTTCGATCTTTATCCTAACGTTTATACTAGGTTTTTCTGGTTAATTATTCATCAAACCGAAAATAAAATACCTTTTTTTTGGTATAAAGTTTGCTTTTGTGATGCCTAGTTATAGTAATAATACTCATTTTTAAAATTTTTTACATGTTTTTTTTAATTTTGATACTTTCAAAAAAACCGCTCCATAAGAGTGGGGTGTTTACGTTTACACAGTGCCACTAGATGGCACTCGAGTCATAAACAACGATCAGATGTTTTGTACAAGCCCAGAAAAACTTCAAATGTCACGAAAGTGTAAATACGATGCTGATGCATTTTGTTTCATATGTGGTCAATTTATTAAAGTTCAAAAGGGAATTGTTTCATGCCATGTATTTTTTTTTTGTCTAAGTACGATCTAAAATATCTAAATTTTATGCTTTGCAATCAAAGTCAAATTTGGTGTTGACCCTTCATTAATAATTAAGACTTTTATTACGTCTTGCTCATTTTTCTACCGTCTTCGCCACCTTCCTTTTCTCTGTCATTCTGCCTATCATTCTCTTCTCTCTTTCTTTCCGTTTACTCTCACTTACATCTTAACGCTCCGTTCCACTCTTTTCATACGTTCCGCTCTTACCAGTCCTACATATATTTTAATATTGATAAGGGTTGATAAAATTTACTGGTGGTAGGACCTCTTGTGAGTCCGCACGGGTGGGTACCACCGCCCTGCCTAATATTTCTGCCGTGAAGCAGTAATGCGTTTCGGCTCGAAGGTTGGGGCAGCCGTTGTAACGATACTTAGACCTTAGAACTGACGTCTCAAGGTGGGTGGCGCATTTACGTTGTAAATGTCTATGGGCTCCAGCCGCCACTTAATACCAAGTGGGCTGTGTGCTCGTCCACCCATCAAAGCAATAAATAAATAAAAATCTAATATTTACAAACTGAACAGGTATGTGACAAGAATCCTGACAATAATGTTTTGAATCCTAAAATAAATTATGAATGAGTTATGTGTCCATTATTCAGATAACATTTCTTGTTAATGTGTGTTTGTAGTCTGTACATATTTATAGAATGATTATCACAGAAAGTATCATTTAATATACCATTCGTGCCCTGTATGGTATGTAGCTTGATAGTGTCTCTGCTATTGTTCATAACTATGACTCATGACCGACCACTCATCATAATAGAAGTGGATAGAATCAATAAGCCTGAAAAAAAAACTATAACTTAGTATCGTTTGAAATAGCCACACGCTCGTTTCTATTGTTCATAAGAAAATGAGTTTGTTTTGTATGCTTTCACGTTTAACTACACAATCGATCATCATGACATATTCGTTGACATTGTCAGTGACCTCTCGACTAGAAAGAACATACTGTTACGCGCTCGGGTTCGGAATAAATAAAAGTCCCACCAAAGTACAATTTAAAACTATATTTAACACTTAGAGCACTCACAGAGCACTTAACAATTAGTAATTTGCTTCTTCCGCTTCGCTTCACGTGATCCGTTCGCTGCTTCGCTTTTTTTTTATTTTTTTTATTACCCTTGTAGGCAGACGAGCATACGGCCCACCTGATGGTGAGTGGTTACCGTCGCCCATGGACTTCAGCAATGCCAGGGGCAGAGCCAAGCCGCTGCCTATCGCTTAATACTCTCCACAAGCCTCTTTTAAAGAAGGACATGTCATAGCGCTCGGGAAACACCGTGGAGGGGAGCTCATTCCATAGCCGGATGNAAGGAATAAAACTGGCTCTCCAACCCACACACCGGAACACAGCTAGGCTATTTGGCGGCGGACTCTAGTTGGAGGGTGGTCGCCAGCCAGTCGGACTAGTCCTACCACCGATTATGTTTTCGGCTCCCGTTTAGCACCACCCAGGGGTCACTTGTAGGGAATCGCGGGTTAAACCTACGGAAGCGGGAAGCAATCGACCCCCAAGTAATTCCAATTAATTCCGATTACTAACTCTACTCTGCAACGCTTTTATAGTCGATGCGACATCCCTAGAATGATCGAGAACATTCCTGACAAGTCGAGTAGTTTCGATATGTTTTCGCTATATGGCAATAGATGGCGTTGTACTTCTCGAGCGCTCTCGGTTTTACAGGTTATGCATATTCATTTCTATGCATATATTATATATGCACATTCATTTCTGCTATTCGGCGATATATGGCGTTGCTCTCATTCACGGTTGTTTGCATAAGAGCTAGTGTATTGCGCAAACGAACGCTTTGAGATCGTGGTCAATGAATGATAAAAAAATCTGTTATTTTTGTACGTTATTACAAAGTTAAGTCGTACACTGTGTGCATTACTAATAAAAATCTTACGTTACGGACGCTTTTTCCCGGTTAGGGTACCCCTCCGCATCGTCCCATAAGGAACTTCGTTCCAAAAATAATGAGTTAGCATTTGATTTTCACAGAAAGAACACAAATAGAATCCGCTAAGCTCGAACTGAAGCTGATAGGCGTTGACGATTCAGTAGCTCAGCGCTCGTCGGGTGTACTGGCTGTGAAGTTGGCCGCGCTCGGCGCCCGCGTGCCCGTCTCCGTCACCAAGGACAGGGGGGCGACCCGGCTACGCGTGTCCCTGTATGGACCCAAGTCTGTCGACCGAGTCTATTATATCGAGAACCTGGTGAGTTCGTCGTGAACATATACGTACACAAGGTGTACGGAAATCATTCTTGAAGCTGACATGAGAGAGAGAGAGATAGAGATAGAGAGAGAGAGTATGTTTTATTGCACTCTAAAACGTAACTAACATTGAATATCGGTCAACGGACCGATATAATTTGCGCAAAAAGTAGTCTTATCGCTAAGAGCGAGCCCTTCACAAGTCAAAGTCACTATTGTATTGGAATATAGACTTTTTGAAGTAAAAATTTATTTTGCTCTGCCGTCATTTGAAATTCGATGAAGCGTAATAGTGACATTAAGAAAAAACGAAAGATGCACGTTAATAATATATATTAGCCTACGAAAAAATGACATAGAACACATCTACAAGTTTTATATATAATGTGTGTAAATAGCACATTCGTTTTTATTTTTTCTCGGTAATGAACAATATTGGCTATGCCCTGCCACTATCAGTTTTGTACTACAACTATAGGCTTTAAAACCACTTCTTCTTACTACAGGTTCAACAAGAAAAGCTATCCAATAGCGATTCTGAAGATTCACTGAGAGCGGACGTTGTCAGTGCGGAGTACACATTATCCTTGCCGACACCCGCCTTACAACAAAGAGAAATACTTAGTGAATCTACTGTAAGTGTATTCTACTTTGTAAGATGACATTGACAGCAAAGAAAAAATACGGCAAAATCAAAATATAGTGCTGGCAACAATTAGAAAAAACCTCTCTGTCAAGTTGCCATGTCATTTGGACCTATCGCTGATTTATGTTCTTCCGGTTGCATTATTAATCATATAGTAAACTAGCTGTACCCGCCCGCTTCGCTGGGCATTTAAAATTAACATTATTATTTCTCACATACATGTATTTTTTACATGGATACCAAGTTTCAAGTCAATCGGATGCACGGTTCAGTAGTTAAACCACTGTAGATTTATATATTAGTGTAGATAGCCTGAATATACGCAATTAATTTCCAGGTGTCAGCGGCAACATCGTATCACACAGCACTAATAGTCCTCGCAGCAACCTCGGCGTTCATCATCAGCATCCTCTGTGTACTCGTGATGTTATACCGAGCGAGACTACAGAGAGAGCCTCATAAAGCCGAGAGATTCCTTCCACCAGCTCCGCCAGTATATGTGCTCTCCGCTGACGAGAAAGCTGAACTTGCGAGGGTCTTGCACGCTCCACCACCCCCGATCCCGCCACAGAGTGACGATTCGAAAGTATAATGAAACAAGCGAAATATTTGCGTGAATTAGAAACTGTTAAAAAAACAGGTGTGCGATTTTTATTTCGTAAATAAAAAAATAGTGCGCGTGCAACTTGGTGCATGTGAAATAAGTGAAACTTCCTTATGCGGTGTGTAGTATTGTGGTTTTCTTCATTTTTCATCCTTAAATAAAATTTGTCTTGTAATAAGGAATGTTGTGTATAAGAGATCTAGCTCGCTTTGTCGTTTCCCTCTTTCCACGGTAGAGTAGTTCGCGAGACGCTCTGTCTATTTTCTCACTCTCACTCTTCCTAAATTGTATCTCTTCTCTCTAGCCGTAACGAATCTGTCGCGAGTTAAATTTTAATCTAAACTCGCTTAAAGAAGTTTCACTTCAAAATCTGTAGCAATTTGTCAANGGAATGTTGTGTATAAGAGATCTAGCTCGCTTTGTCGTTTCCCTCTTTCCACGGTAGAGTAGTTCGCGAGACGCTCTGTCTATTTTCTCACTCTCACTCTTCCTAAATTGTATCTCTTCTCTCTAGCCGTAACGAATCTGTCGCGAGTTAAATTTTAATCTAAACTCGCTTAAAGAAGTTTCACTTCAAAATCTGTAGCAATTTGTCAAAAGCGTACTGTATGTGTACAACAGGATCCTTGTCATTTACCCTGTTTGAAAATTCACGCAAATTGATGTTAATATTCTAAATCTTTCACAATCTTTCGTTTAAACTACTTACCTACACGAAATTGTAAATTTAGTCAAACATACAAAAAGTGATTCTAGGGTCCAATTAAAATTGCCTAGAGTTTTAGTATGGCGATATTAAACTATCTTTAAAAGACAAAAATAACTAAAATGACGATCTTTTTTAATCTAAATTGTTGGGAAACGGTTCAAGCATGGCCACACAGAACTTACGACTTTACAGTAGTGTTGCCACACATCAAATTACTCGAACATTGGTAAATAAATTTAGACATTATGTCATTGTTTGTTCATAGTTAATTTGAAATACATTTCATTTTATATCCAACCCACACACATAGATTGGCCTTTATGACTGTGATAGCCATATTTCATTCATATTAAATGCTAGAGGATACCTTAAAATGGTAATGGTCAACAGACGACTTCCTTTAATAACATCAACAATAAATCAATTAGCCAGAGATAAATACGGCCGTTATCGGAATTACACGGAAATAAAAAGCAAACTTAGATTGAAAAGTCAAAATAAGTTAATTTTCCGTGCACGGTTATAACTGAAATACATTTAGAACCTGATGTTCGGGTTTACGCCTCCTATTGCAATATTGGCTATCGAAACAAAAAAAAATTGCGTCGAAAACCCGTCTATTTAGAGCACTATTATATAGAAGACTTTCAATTCATCAAACCGTCCGAATTACATTAAAGTTCTACAAAAAAAACTAAGTTTAGTTCGCAATACGTACACCAAACTTAGATGGGTTCCTAGTGGATCTACAGTTAGTTACCCGACCGCTGTATTGAATCGTGCTGGTGGACCTTACACTCGATTTACGTTTTTCACAAATATTATTACATATTAAGTACGACAGCATAATAATAATTCGATATATCTGTCGTTTGTGCGAATTTAAAATGCTCACTTCAGTTTGATCCTGCTTCGTACATTTTAAAACAACTTAGATCTTTTCGAATATTGATAGATTTGGACCAGTGTGCTTAGTGAGACTTATTTAACGCTCTCGGTAGAGTAATAATTATTTATAACTCAAAGTATGCAGTAGGAACAGCGCCACTAGCGGCAAACGTAGGCAAACGTTCCAACTCTATACAAAATTGAGTTAACTTTTACGCTATCGAGAACGTTAAAAAACCCGCACTAAGCACACAGACAGATAATTTTCAGACGCCAACAATCATTAAAACGCCGACTCTAATTGAATCCAAAGAGAAATACATAAAAGCATTTTTTTTCTTTCTTTCTCATAAAATAACTTAAGTTTCGTAAATGTAAGTACTCATAGGGAAGTGCAGAAGCGAGGGTGGACTGTTTATATGTGCTCTCTCTTTTACGCTCCCCTAAGTTCCTTTCGTTGGGTCTCGCTCTTTCATTCTATTCCAAACGTTATGTTCCACTGAGCCTTTTCCAAAAGAACGTGGCTCGACGTAGAACTAATCTAGTCTATTTTTCATTCATAATTTAAAAAAATAAACTCATATCATCACAAATAAGCTTCCATTCATTATATTCGTTGTTAATAAATAAAACGTACGTAAAATTCTAAATAAATTTAGAAAAATATTAGGTTTATTGTATGCATTAAATAGAGGTAATTAATTCTGAAGGGACACATTTTCATTTGTTAGATCCAAAAAAATCTAGACTATAGTATATTCAATGTATAGTGTGTGCTTTCAGAATTACTTTATACCTTGAATATTTATGGTATACTCACTAATATCTCTATATTAAATTTTCTCTTGAAATGATCGATCGAAAGAAAATAGTAGTTTAAGAATATAAATTTATATCTAATCATGTATTATCGAAAATTGGATAAATCGTTTCATGTATTAAGTATTTGTGGTTTTATTTATGCCTGATGTAATTTTCAAGTAATACACAAAATCTTTACAAAGAAAACCTACTTCAACAAAATAAAATGGACACTGTCAACGTCCATGAGTGACGGTAACCACTTACCATCAGGTGGGCCGTATGCTCATCTGTCTCCAAGAGCAATAAAAAACCAAAAAATCGATTAAATATGAATTAATAAGGATAACTCAAATACTATTGATCTGGCGACCATTATCAGATATTTTGAATGAGAGAATCCACCAGCTTTCAAATAATAATAATAAATCATCAAAATCGATTCAATTAGAAGAAAGGTCTGAAAACACACAAAAACTACACTCGAATTGAAAGCCTGCTTCCTCCTTTTTTGAAATGATTAAAAAACCTCGAGAGAGTTAGTTATAGTTAATCGATGTAAAATTGCTAGTATCTCGTCACGAATTAGGCGCGGTAACATTACCGTGGGCTTCACAGGCCAAGTACCTAGGCATCACCCTCTATAGACTGCTGACGTTCGGTCCCCACATTAAGTAAGTAGGTACTCGACCGAGCCACGTTCTTACTCTGTCGACTCTACCCCATGATCTTCAAGCGAAGTAAATTGTCCTTTCGCAACAAGATGACACTTTACAAAACTTGTACATGTTCCGTCTTGACCTCTGGAAGTGAATTATTCGCTAACAGGTGCAAGGTTCGCTCTGCAGGTCATCCGATCGCATTTCTGCTGGATAGCCACTGTTCGTGAGGAAAGTCGACCTACACGACGACCTGAGCTTCGAATCGATCCAGAAGCACCTGAAATTCGCATCGGAACGCTACTTCGACAAGGACATGCGTCATGATAATCGCCTAATCGTTGCCGCCGCTGAATTGTCCGCGACTCTGACTCACGCAGGAGCTCGAGTCGAGTCACCGTCGACGCCCTAGCCACGTCCATGCTTTACGATCCGTATTAGTTCTACTAACTCTATTATTAGACGCTTGCAGCTCTGGTACTAGGAGCAGGCTCAGGGACCCTGGTAACCGTACTCGTCGAACTCGGCAAAGTTTTCGACGTGCAACCTAACCCATACATCAGTCCGCTGAGTTTCTCGCCGGATCTTCTCAGCGGGTCGCAATTCCGATCCGGTAGTAGTAGGTGCATTCGCGAAGCAGCTAGCCTTGAGCTGTTACTCCACCCCTCCTATCCTACCCCTCCTAGGTGAGCCCGTGCTCGCCCACATATCCTGCTGAATGGTGAATCTGGAAAGGTCTCTGGATCAAAGTAATACTTTCTTCTTTAAAAAAATGCAATATAAAAACGAAAATAAAAACAATATATTAAAAAATTTTTTTAAATCTTAGTTGCAATGATTTTTTCTAAAAATACTGCAAATTTTGATTTTGAATATGGCAGTTTAATTAGTGAAGACAGTATACTAGATCGCGTCAAACCAAAGAATAAAGTAATGTTAGGTATTATTACCTAACATTACTTTATTTCTTTAATTTCTGAATACACTAAATTTAAAACATAAACCGGAAATGTGTACACTCTAACCGGACTACTTCACAGAAGAGATGGCAGCCCTCTCTTCTTAAATTTTTCAATTTTCCGCGTTAGACTAGCGTGTGTAATGTAGGCCTAGAAAAGCCCCACCCTTCTCCAAATACTTTCCCCGAATATTTTGTATTGTGAAAAACCATACGCCTAACAACTAAACTTTCTCGTTTATTTATTTGAAGTCGGTAAAAGAAAAGAAAACCGTATTGGACTGCAAGATGATCAAAAAAAGGGGTTGACGTTAAAGTAAAATTGAAGATGAAGCCATAAAGCTTCAAACTTATTTTATTAATAAATTCAACAATATAAAAAAGTAGTATCTCATGGAATCTTTCCATGTCATAGAAATTATCAAATAGAAATAGAAATAATCATGATTACAGAGGATACTCATATATTGGATCGTAAAGTTGCTCTTTTAGTCGATTTTTTTATATTTAGTAGATTTTTCATAATTGTTATAGGGAATGCGTGAATCAGTCGCTATACAAGTCAAAAAGCTTCTTTTATGTTAGTCTAATAATATAAATACTAATTTGACAAAAAATAATACGGAAAACCTTAAAATTTAATAACATTATCTCTAAATTTGAAGCTAATATTAAATAAAATACTCAAAACTTTTAAAAATAAGTGCACGACTTGACTCTCATTCATCTGTCATATCGATGACATACAGTTGACAAGTTGCAGGGCCGGCCCTTGGTAAATTATTTCAGAATGAATCAGGAAGGCGGGCTCGCTTGTTGCGCCGTATGCAATCAAAAAACTCAAAGAAGATGCGCAAGATGCCTCAATATTTACTACTGTAATACGGAACATCAACGACAGGACTGGAAGAGACATAAAAGTGAATGTATACCCAAATTAACGAAGCAGCTTGCAAAAAGTGATAATTTTGGTGAATGTTCAACTGTTACCAAAGAAGCTGCTAAGGAAATTGGAAACATTGCTCAAAATTATCAGCATGATGTTACGAAAGTATGCAATGATGGTGATGTAAGACATTTAAAAAAGTCAAAGACTAAAAACGAAAAAAAAAGTGTTTCCGAGGGTAGTAGTGTTAGTAAACAAAATAAATTTGACTTCAAGAAAAACATACAACAAACACAAAACAATAAAACTACATCGTCAGGACAAAGCGATAGCTCTGTGATTTCTAGTGTAGTGTTCACCAAGGAAGATTTGAATAGTGAAAGTGCCATAACTTATGAGGGTTCCTCAGAGAAGGAAATATTGAACGAGTCAGTACAGCAACTTAGTACGGTGGACTTCTCCACTGCGACTGGATCTAATGTGTTGAGAACCATTAACAGTACAGATACAAATATGCCCATTCTTCCTGAACCGACAGCCCGGGTGAAGGAGTACCCTGAGGCGTCATTGAAGGGAAGTGTGGCACCATTTAATCACATGCTCAATAGCTACTACATGGATCCAAGTGATCCATTCTATGAAATATGCCAGAGAGTGATCCGGGACATGACTCAATATGGTGTTTGTGTTTTGAACAATTTCCTGGGAAAAGACCAAGGACTATTAGTATTAAATGAAGTGTTAAAAATGTACAGATCAGGAATATTCACAGTAAGTTATTCATATTTATTTTTGTTGAAATGTTTTCTTATAACAATAAAAAAACTTTCTATGAGGTAAAATCATTTGAGACCGACAAACAAAATAATGATTCTCTGANCTCAATATGGTGTTTGTGTTTTGAACAATTTCCTGGGAAAAGACCAAGGACTATTAGTATTAAATGAAGTGTTAAAAATGTACAGATCAGGAATATTCACAGTAAGTTATTCATATTTATTTTTGTTGAAATGTTTTCTTATAACAATAAAAAAACTTTCTATGAGGTAAAATCATTTGAGACCGACAAACAAAATAATGATTCTCTGAGGCTCTCTGAATCCTTAAGATGAACTTTAGATGATCAATATTTGCTTAAGTTAAGACCACCAAAACAAATTTCTGACTCAGATATTTTATTTATTTATTCTTACATTAGTATAATCATAAACCAAGACCTTTAAACACATAGTTTTTGATAATTTTAACCTTGAGACATGAGATAAAGCTTAAACCTAAATTTGCAAAAAACAAATGGCATATTTATCCTTTGAGTTAAAGTGATTGTTTAATTTCAAAAATAGGCAGGGCAATGGTACTAATCATTCGAGAGCTAAATTGAAAATACTAGTAGAAAGAGGTAATTTGTTTTAAATCTGCACTGAAAAAGCTAATGCTTACCTTTGAAAACGTTAACTCTTACAATTGTGGCATGCTTTCTGCCTAGTCTTGTACAAGTAAATATGAGTTATATGGGGTAATTGCTGTTAGAAGATCGTACTATTTGTGAGATGAAGGGAACAATAAGGATAGCTTAACTAGATTGCCTGCTTATAATTTTTTTACTGTTTTTTATAGCTTCCTGTAAATGAGTATTTTTTCTACACAACTGAATGGCTGTAACCGTTGTCCATGTAGATGTATTGACATGGCAATGCCAGGGGTACATTTTCTTAAATGCTAGTGTGTTTATTAATAAAGAAATAGTATACATTTAATATACAGTAAAAGCTTTTTCTTTGCATGGTATACGTTCCATGTATATCCAGCGAATACAGAAACGATCAATACGGAGAAGTGCGCTTACAAAGATATTCAGTTGGATACCTACATTTTGAATTCCTTTTTTATCAATATGTATGTACCAATTAGTCTGTGAATAAAGAAATCTTTAGCCTGGAACATGGAAATTGGTTTGCCTTTTTTTATTATCCGCGAATACTGAAAACGCATATGAAGGTAGCATAAATAAGGAGCTTTTAATAATAATAATAATACATCAAGGCAAAAATGCAGAATTACTTGACAAAGAAAAATCTCTTAGTCGTAGAAATTATTCCAATCTAGATTAATTTAAATCTTCTGATGATTTGTCTACACCATACTTGTGAATTTTCACATATAAATGTAATTTGCGAAATTTTAAGCATTTTGCATTACTGATTTTTATTATCTCATTTATTAATGTTATGTTGTCTTACAATACATTGATACTTAGATAATGTTGGTATAGTGTCACCAAAAGCTTGGCTATATGTTGTCTCATCTGTTTTGAAGGTAATATAAAAACTGGTTGATTTATGACACTTAAGATTTTATTATCAAAGCATAAATAATGAAAAGTTATTCAGTCTATTATTGTAAACTACATCTTGCAGGATTCATATTATGAGTCATTGTTTTGCAATTTAAAATAATAACAATTAGTATTGAAAAGCCGTACCCATTGAGTGTGATTGATAACATAAAGATCAATAAATTTTACAATACAATGAACTTTAGCTGCAGTTCAATGTCCTGGAAAAAAACACTATCAAAAGGTGACTATGGTGTCATAATATACCAACCATTGAATATCAGGTGTATTAAACTCAATTAATGTATTGTAGAATTGTTGAGAAATTTGCAGTACAACATTGAGAAACAATATCGGATAACAAAAAAACTGAATAAAGTTTAAATAAACAGTAAATTAATCTATTAATTATAGAAACATATGTTAATAACAATTAATAATATAATATCATTTAAAACATAGTATAAATGATATAATTAGTTAGCACGGGTTATCATTATCATCATAGTAAATTGACATTTTGAAATTTATAATAAATTTGTTTTCAAGTTAAAATATTTTATAGTTATTTTTAGCACTTCTTATTTTATTTTTATTAGAAACAAAGCACATTATTTCGTTATTACTAATTAAACTATTAAGAGTTGTAGATAGATAAAGTACTTATGTAGAAATACTTAAAAAGGAGACTCAACAAATTTTTTTCATAAAATAACAGACTAGAAACTAGTAACCTATAAGAATAACACTAACTAAAGAATAATTAGTAACAATTGAAACTGAATAATAATATGATGATTTACTGTAATGAGACTTGGTCTAGGTTAGTTCCCTCTCTCACAATTTTATAAGCCTAAGCCACTAGAAACTGATGGTAGGACCCCTTGTGAGTCCGCACGGGCTGGTACCACCACCCTGCCTATTTCTACCGTGAAGCAGTAATGCATTTCAGTTTGAAGGGTGGGGCAGCCGTTGTAACTATACTTGAGACCTTAGTACTTATATCTCAAGGTGGGTGCGCATTTATGTTGATGTCTATGGGCTCCAGTAACCACTTAACACCAGGTGGGCTGTGAGCTCGTCCACCCAACTAAGCAATAAAAAGGAATATATAAATATACTGTGTTCATCTCATTTGTTTTCATCTGATTGGATCATATAGAACTTTAAGATTCAGAATACTCCTGCATGCCAACCCTAAAATGATCCTTTAAGTCAGGGACATAAAAAAAAGCCTTTTGTTTAATTGTTATATCTGTATACGTATTAATTGTTGGTATAATAGCATAGAAGCTATAAGACTTACATCCGTTTGAACGTCTAGTGTGAAACGTGATCGGTTTAATGTTTTTCACGGATGTCCGTCAATTATTACCGCAAGTCGAACAAACTTACGTGCCTTTGGTCACTATGCACTACGTTAATGGGATAAGCATATCAACACCGTCTAGGAGATGATATTTCGATCTTTCTTTGTTTACTAAAAACAATCATATTCATAACATAAAACGGTACTTACGTATTAACGCCAAAAAATTCGGTTAAACTTTCCTTTGTGGTCCGTCGATTTTGGGTCGGGGGCTTACCCCCTGCACCATTCCCATCCCGTGGAACCCCATGGTTATGAAGATATCCACGGTTAATTTTTTTGATTAAAATTACATTATTTAGTCAAAATCGAAGGGAGCTTAAGTTTGAATCCGCCTTATTTCCGGCGCTGCGGGAAGAGCAGCCCATCCGCCCTTGCGTGCCGAAGCACGGTCACTCGTGCTCCGCTTCGCAGCTTCGGCTTGTCGGTCGCCTACGGCGACCAGCCGCAGCCGCTCCGCCTCGCACTGTTTCCGTGCTCCGTCACAGCAGGCGAGGACTGCTCTCCCTCCGCGCCTCCGGTTTTTTATATACACTCTAGGGGTAGGGCAGACAAGGGCAGGTGGAAAGTGGGGTGCTCTGATTCGCTTTTCCATATTTTTCGAGTTGTCCACACTTGCTAACCTTTAAATTTTTGCCGCGGTGGCGTTAATACGTAAGTACCAATAAAAAAACAAAATATTATTGATAAATTCTATTTAAAGCATTTAACTAGACTTTAGAATAAAACGATTCTTTTTTGCGTACGTTAAATCTTATTTAAATGAAGACGAAAAGTGAATTAATTGTAAAATGATAGACGAATGTTCGCTTCAAGAGAAACACAGCACAAGTTTTCCGTTTTTTTGTAACTACATATGCCTAAAATCAGTGGTCAGTAAAATCATTTAAGATGTTAACCGTCGTTTTTCAAAGGTATTTCATGCTTTGAATCAAATTGTGAAAGTCTCTGCGGCATATTGTCGCAGGTCCTGCAAAGATGACAAAAAAGTTGATATTTAGCCGCAATGTTTGCAGGAAAATCCTTCAAAGCTCTGTAAATCTTTGGAGCATGTTCCATGCGTGCTCTGTGGTATTTAGGTCTGAGTTTTTTTTCTACTGTGAAGCAGTAGTGCGTTTCGGTTTGAAGGGTGGGGAGCCGTTGTAACTTTACTTGAGACCTTAGAACTTATATCTCGAGGTGTGTGCGCATTTATGTTGTACATGTCTATGCAACCTTCAGCTCCAGCAACCACTTAACACCAGGTAGGCTGTGAGCTCGTCCACCCACCTAAGCAATAAATAAATAAAAGATTGCGCGGGTCAGAACTAAGACCACACGGTCAGCACTAGTTCCGAAGCCTTTAAACCAATTGCATGGCCATAACATTTGGCTGTTTTCTCGCGTCAATTTGCGAAAATCGGTCGTGTCGTTAGATGATAATGCGTTTCCCGCATGGGTATCAATTTTAAAAATTTCAGCCACTTCACTAGTAGCACGATAATGTGACAATAACCTTGTTATCATTTATTTCATTTTTCACCCGGTCAGCAGAATGTTTCGAGTTCACAAACCTGAAGAAGTATTCCTAGTCAGTATGCATACTTCTCATAATTTGAAATAAGATAATTTTGAATGCTTAGGAATAACGGGAGAACGGGGCAAAGCTGTCATAGATGGTAGTAGTCACTTGCCATCACGTGGACTGCATACTGATCTGCCTATTGAAGTAATAAAAATATATTCCTAGATAATATACTTATATGACGTCACATGTTAAATTTGCAAAAAATAATAATTTACTTTTTTTTATTGCCCTTGTAGGCAGACGAGCATACTGCCCACCTGATGGTGAGTGGTTACTGTCGCCCATGGACATCAGCAATGCCAGGGGCAGGGCCAAGCCGCTGCCTACCGCAAAGCAAAGCCAAGCCGCTGCCTACTGCCAACCTACTTGTGAACATTTTAAATAAAACAAATTAAGTAATCATATTTACATAGCTTTTTTCTTCCAAATACCTAGTAAATCTATCAATAGACTAGTTGTAAATACTTTAGTATATAATATTAGCATTATGTTATGTACTAATATCGTGGAATTAAAAAAATAGTTGTTTATCATATATTTATTTTTAATTAGGCTGGACAACTGGTGTCTAGCCCTGGGAGTACAGAAGCGCAAACGATTCGAAGCGATCGCATCACGTGGATAGATGGAAAAGAACCTCAATGTTTCCATATCAGGCAACTAATCAGCAAGGTTTGTACACTTACCATAATATTTTACTATAAACCTCAAACTATCATGCCCTTATTGCGCAAATTTATTTACCAGAAGAGAGCAACAGTGACGTATGTCGGCCCTTGGAGAGCCAGTAAGGATGGCATTACAAATTATATTTGGTCCACTGTACATTCGTAGCTCATGTCAGGCGGCACGACATGAGAACCCTCTTGTCGTGGCCGTCTGGAATTACATACCCGATCCTGTAGACCGAATGGTAAATAGTCGACGTCGCCCAAAACATGTCATTACGGATCCTCTCGATCCATTAACAGTGCTTTTAGGTACCACAAGTGGGTGGGTGGGTCGCGTTTCCGATCCAGTGGTAGATTCTGCGAAGCACTGCTCTCGCTAGGGCCAGTGTTAGTAACACTTCCGGTTTAAGCCCCGTGAGCTAACCTACATGTTAGGGTGAAGCTGAAATAGCCTCTCAAGGCTATCAGCATAGGTAGGAAAAAAGCTCATGTAATTTTGAGTGTTAGTGGTAGGAAGTGTCGTGTGTTTTCAAAGTTGGTATCACAGTTTCCCCTTTCATCTGACACAAAGATGTAACGCGTTTTGTAGCTAAAATGTTCGTTATTCGTATACGATTGAGGCCTAGTTGTCTCAAGGTAGCTGGAAACATTCACGGCCGGGAGCGCGTTCGCCCATCTTCGACAAAAAAAAAGCTTTGTCATAACTGAGTGAGAATGATTCTACATTATCGTTTATCATACAGTTTTCGTTCTTAATGGATATATTAGCTGATTGCATGTAACATGATGTGGCGCCACTGAATGCGTTCTGGAAATTTTCATAATTATTTCTTATCATAATTTACAATCCACGTGAATTATTGAGTTTACAACAAAACATTCTTGGCTATCGTCTCGTTGATTTGAAGTTGTTTTTATGACCGTCGTTTGCTTACACCACCTAGTGTCGAAACAAATATAGACCCATATGTATTGTTATGGAGTTCCTATAACTCCAATTTGGCTACATAATATACCACATTAGGGTATAGACAGCGAAATTACACGGCATCAACTAGTGCTTAAGAACGGGATTACTGTCGCCCATGAAACGAAAATTCTTCTGTGTAGTTCATTCTATTACAGTGAATAGTGAATCCTCGTTCCCTCTCTTACATTCGTCGTTCAAAAACGAGAAATAAAAGATCGTAATAAGACTTTAAACAAGAGTAAATTCATTTCAGAAACTATTCAATATGCGTTGAAACTTATCGCTAACTAACAATCAGTACATGAAATGTTCCCAGCTGGTAAATTTCCGTCAATAACGACTATATTCATTAGCAGTGCCCGAAAATTACATTGATTAATCGTGCTTAATGTGCAGACAAAGAAAAATGTCTTTAATGTACACGATATTTGTATTGTGTGATTCGTACAATAGGAACATGAGCTTAAGGATTTAATTCGCGTAATTTACCAAGCTATGGTTACGCTTTATAAAGTTGATATACTCGTACATTCTAATGGATTTTTCAGTGTTTGGCCATTGGGCTGTCTAGCGCTAAAGGCTCTTTTCTTTTTTGCGGTTCCGCAGTGAAATAGCAAAAACAGAATAGCTATACTTAATAAAAAAAAATATGTGCTATTTCGAAATTAAAATATTTTCATATTTTCTATGAAATAATTATATAGATGGTTATTAGACTTACGGCTATTTATAGGGAGTTAATGCAACTATAAAAACCCGTTATATATTTTTTTGTTAAAAGCGTTATTTAAATGGTCTTATTTATCATTAAAACTACTTTTACGGCTTATTCTTATTTTAATTTCATCATTATTATTAGTAATGCTTTTTGACAAACTTCTTACAACGGTTTATAAAATTCCGAGAACACATTAAGAACAAGATTGTTACATTTGAGATCATCCAATTTACATTTGTACCTACAGTTCCAATAGTCTTGAATAAAACGGTTATAAGCACAGAATAATGATAACCATGATATCTAGACCCCCAAATGCTAAAGATCTCTCTGTCTAACAATAGTATCCGGAACCCGCAGTTCAGTAGTCAAGACTAAACCAAAGGAGCTAATAAAAATGTCCTTCAAACTTTTGCTTTTTCCAGGTTGACAATATAATTCTGAGGGCGAACAAAATGGCCAACAATGGAAAAATGGGCGACTTCGTCATCAACGGCAGAACAAAAGTAAGATTTTATAATACTTTAATCAAACTTGCAAATATTTCTTCAATGTCATCCGAAATGAAACATTTGAATAACTCGTTTCTTGTGTTACCCAACAAAGTTTTAATTTAATTAACTTGTCTTGTATCTTCACTCCGTATTCATTATTTTTTCTTTACCCTTGTTGTTTAGCGTTAATGGTAAAAATTTGTATCTACTGTTACTTCAGAGACCTACTGTATATTTTTATCCGTGCGATCGTTAGTCACGGCCATTGTACATCTAATGGGCCTCTGAATGAGAGATAGTTTAAAAGGGGATTTCGCATCTTCTTATTCTTGAACATACGCCAAATGTAATTGATTGATATCAAAAATTAGGTAATTTTAGAGATTTCTTAGAAAAACATCGAATATATTTGTTAATTTCGAATACAGATTGTTTTTCTTGTTAAAATAACTACACCTGATACATAAATCGCAATACATCGCAATTCAAGACGCGTGTTATGACGTATACAACAACACAGATAGTAGTAGCCAATGTGTTTCTACCACGAAATATACAAGCTGAATTGGTATCGTTCCTGAAAACAAAGAAATTTGCTGTAATATCTGTCTTCATTTATCTGCGAGTACATTGTAATTTTGTATCCCAGCAAACCAAACATCACAAGTAGAATAAAAGTAAAGGTAATAAAACAAAAAAAAAAATCCGCCCTGCCATTCGAATTTTCCATTTAAATTTAGTCATTAACACATACAAGTTGCGGTTGGGGACTTAATATGTGCACTAGTGAATCACCAATAATTCTGTTATCGATAATGGATCAGATTTTTAAAAATATTTATACACTACAGTCGAATCTCAAACGATGTAAAAATTGATAGAACCACATATCAACAAGTAAAAATCTTCACTCAACCTTTGACTATAAATTCGCCGGACTTTATTAATCTTCACAATAGTGACATGATGAAATATTAAAAGGTTTCCCCGCGGCTGTTTGCATACACGTTTGTACTATGTATTATGAAATAAAACCATTCATAAGAGCGTTACAAAATATTTATCGCGTCGGCTCCAGCGTTTTGGCATTAGAACTCCGAATCGCCAATTCGTTACGGTTCCGTATTCTTTAATGCGTGCTTCTTTTTTTTTTTAAACAATAAATTTTACTCTTACCGCAAAAATAAACGCAATTGTACCATAACTAAAACAGTAAATAATATTTAGTGGTCATGCATTAAAAAAAATATTAGAATTTGAAAATGCAGAAAAAGGTATGCAAAATTATACGAAAAGTGAAAACTTCAGATCGGATACTAATATTGTGCACTCAGCTTACAATACAAGTCATTATGATTGTCAGTAAAAATTACGACTATACAGTCCACCTGAAAGTTATTTATTTAATTATAAGATTAACTGGCCCCGACTTTACTGACGATAAGATAAGGAAAACATTATCAATAGACTAGACTATAACCGTAATTAAGAGGAGTGAAAGAGCATGCGTGACTCATGATTCATGGTGGTGGTGGCGTTGATGCTGTGATATCTATGGAATCCGTGACCACTTTTCATCAGGTTGTCTTGTTCACCTATCTACCCAATAAAAACATACAAACATACAATCTAAAGGTTTTTCTGGTGGTAGGACATCTTGAGAGTCCGCGCGGGTAGGTACCACCACCCTGCTTATTTCTGCCGTGAAGCAGTAATGCGTTTCGGTTTGAAGGGTGGGGCAGCCGTTGTAACTATACCTTAGAACTTATGTCTCAAGGTGGGTGGCGCATTCACGTTCTAGATGTCTATGGGCTCCAGTAACCACTTAACATCAGGTGGGCTGTGAGCTCGTCCACCCATATAAGCAATAAAAAAAAGAAGTTATTTAAACAAGAAAAAGCAGATTTCAATAAATAACAGTTTGATGTATGTATGCTTTCGAACTATAGAACTAACTGCCCAAAACTTTATTATTCAAGAATTTTGAGTAGGTAGGTACTTACGTTTAATTTTTCTCAATTTTATTGATATCAAACTAAGCGAATGTCGACCACGTTTTCCTGTACATCGCTCACTGTATGTAAATACATCTGTTTGTCGAAATAACTCGCGCGCCATTTGTCTAATTGGTATGTTGAAGGAATCTATATATTAATACGTGAAGCAAAAACTTTGTATCCCTTTTTACGAAAATTGCGCGGACGGAGGAGTATGAAATTTTCCACACTTATAGAGAATATAGAGAAGAAGTGCACAATGCTAATATTTTTTTTAAATAATGCATAAAAGATACATTAAATCAATAAAGAAAACATTACACACACTACATACCATGTATGTGACGCACACACGCATGCATACTATTTATTGTCAAACTTTTGTTCTTGACGTCTGTGGTCAAATTGAGAATAGATTAAATATTGTTTGTCTTTGTTAATATTTTTATAGTGTTAGTTTTGGCGAAATTTGTGTTTATAGAAGTATAAAATACAATCATAATAGTGTACAAACTTACAATTCCAATTAATTATAGTCGAATTTCGACTACTGCGGGACCTCTAGTTCCAATAAAGACGTATAAAAATTTTACTCGAATCTCATACAGGATCATGTTATACAAATACCTACTTTTATAAGATTAGATTTTAATACATTTATAATAAACGTTCCTACTTCATATCATAATTTATAAATATTTATTTGTAAACATGAAAATTATGTATAATTAAGGAAATCTTCACAATAGAGTATAGATGTTGAAAAATTAAGTTACAATAATTATACAATATAATTCTCAACGGCCTTATGGTATACGACATAATTATCGTTATTTGGCGAATGGCGAAATTCCATCGGCGATATGATAAACGTTATCTGTCGCAAATGTGTATCGTTGGTATATCGGGTATATTATTATCAGATAAAGGCATAACATAACGCGTGCGGTTCGACGCATGCGCCTCGACGGTTCTGCGTACGTGACTCGTAGCATGGCGGCCGAGGGCGACAGTCGGGGGCAAGGGGAGGAGTGTAAACATTCGTAAAACCGTACATTCACGAGCGAATATGCCTTCCAACAACAAAATTAATCAAGGCCTTTTTAATATTGACTGACTCGGTGGTGCAATAGTTAGCGGCCGTAGGGTCGTGGGTTCGATTCCCGCATCCAGCCGACCATTCGTTTGATGAACAGGTCTGTTGATCTTTATCTGGGTGTTTATTATCTATATATGTATAGATTTTAAACGTATATACGTATGTACGTAAGTATGTACGCAGTTTTTGGTACCTATAACGCAGGGAATCCTATATTGGGACCGGATAACCGAGCGTGATATGTTCCCAGTTTATTTATTATTATAAAATATCTAACAAATAATTTTCGTCCAAGGGTTGTATTTCATTTATACAGTATTAAATAATTTAATAAATACCAAATAACAAAAACGAAACCATCGTAACTATAATGACAAACACATATACTGATAATACTCGTATGTATTATGTAATGTATATTATACATGTTGTTTTTTTAGTTTTTTTTTTTGTTAATTGTGAAAATATGAATGTTGGTATTAAAAGATAAACAAATAAATAATAATGTATATTCAAATTGAAATGCGTTAATACGTAAAACTTATCGGACTTACGCAAAACTCCGTCATATTTACTCAATGAGGCTCATTAAGCTCCATGAGAATTTAATCACAGTTGTTGTACATTATCGTCTTAATTCTAACGAGCAAATAAGCTTCCATACTTAATATTTTTGTGTATTTCGACATCTTACATTTGAGGATGTGATAATAAGGTCACGTACTCTAGGAGCCTACGTGATTATTCATAGGAAATATATTTACAAACGCGACTTTCCTCTTTCGGTTATCCTTCTCAGGATAAATACAATATTATATATATTAGGCACTAAAATTACAGCCAACATTACTATTTTCAAAACCAGAAATTTTAGCTTGGGAAAATAAAAATGTCAAGTTTTTTTTTATTACTTAGGTGGGTGAGCTGACGGCTCATCTGGGGTTAATTGGCTACCAGAGCCCATATACATCTACAACGTAAATGCCGCCACCCTCCTTGAGTTCTAAATCCTGAGTTTTTACAGTACAACGGCTGCCGTATCCTTTACACTGGAACATAGTACTGATTCAAGGCAGAAATAGACAGGGTGATGGTAGCTATCCGTAGGGACTCATAAGAGGTCCTACCACCATAATAATATAGCAACCTATACTTAGCCAATAATATATAGTACAGTAGGTACAATGTGAATGTCTCCATAAGAATGTATGGTGTGCGATATTGTTGTGCTATGAGCTATATGCTATTATGTTATAGCGTAGTCTGAAAGCCGCTTATCAGTTTAAGTAGGAAAAAAAAGACCACCACCAGTAATTACGCAAATTATATTATAATTTTGCGGGTTTGATTTTTATTACACGATGTTATTCCTTCACCGTGAAAGTCAGTCGTAAATATTGTTGAATTCGTGTTTCATTAGGAAAATTGGTACCTGCCTGCGGGATTTGAACACCCTTGCTTCACTTTAGGCCACGACGACTTGAAAGTCTACATTTTTCTACAATAATTAGGTTTGTACCATTATCCTGATTATTCAAGGCATTAATCCCGAAACGAATGTTCGATTGTGAATAGTTAGCCTTATCAACGTAATTGAAACTCTTGAGCAGTCCAATGTTTACAAACTGTGATTGTAGATTAACAACCATTTCACGGAGGCCTGTCATCTCTTCAGTTTTCCGTCATGCTCCGCGTCTCATCGTAGGCCGGTCGTTGTGTGTGCCAAACGCTAATTCACATAGCAACGGGATGGCAAACTTTACGCGGTAATTAGAAGTGAAATTACTAAAAAACATATTTATTCCATTAATATAAAATTTTCTACGAAGTAATTTTATTCATTTATTTAGAAGTCCCAATTCGGCAGTCTTGCGGATCACAATTCATAATAAGCTACCGGAACTTTATAAGTCCGT